CTTTTAACTATTGGGAGTCATTTTTGCAATGCAGTAAAATATTAGATAGATAGATAGATAGATAGATAGATAGATAGATAGATAGATAGATAGATAGATAGATAAGCAAACTAACTCTAATCCTTATCTACCTCTCCGATGGTAGTATCTGTCCTACCCTAACAGTTCCTGCATTCTTGGTGTGTGGTTTGTCAGCCTTTTCCCTGGCTATCTATCCAGTTATGCCTCCACAGGGGAAAAAAGAGAGTCTGTATAGGAGTGATAAATCTGTCTGGGAAAGAAAAAAAAATCATTCCTTTTTTATAGCAGTGGCACAAGTATCCCCCAACAATGATGAAGTCAAAATGCAAGAAACAAAGCCACAATGGCAGCTGCATTATAGCAATGGAAGAAAGAAGCAATCACAGATCTACCGGCTTTTCTACAAGTAGCAATTGATAGCTTTTCCTGGAATCATCCAGGGATTGAATAATAGTTGTAGGATAAAATGTCCTCTGCTATATAATTTTTTTTCATGACCCTTGATAAGTGGCCTGTGAAAAGAAGTCATCTTTTGTAGTATACCTGAACAGGACTCACACTTGCTTCTTGGTTCTACTCACCTTTCCCATCAGAAGGTAGAGCTCGTAGCTGGGACTTCCGGGCACTTCTTCCCCCTTGGAAGAACAAAGCATGGAAAAAAATAATTAGATCTTGCAAACATAAATTTCAATCTCCACCTCCAGCCCCCAAACAACAGAGTATAGATGGTCATCTGACAAATTCATACATTTAGGAAAGAAAGACTTGGTTGTTTCATGAGAAGACATGAAAATCTGTACACTCGGGCAAGGTGAGAAAGAGCTGGGATAATAATGAATAAACAAAGCAAATCCCATATTTTTGTTTGATAATACAATAAGCCTACGTGCAGGATAAAAGCTCCAATTTTTCTGAAACATTACTTTCAGTATCTTTTCTTTTATTAATTGGAATATGCATTTTAACCTTTAGATACCACATTCAGTATTTAATATAGGCTCTGTAAACTACGTCTTCAAATCCTTCTCTATCAAACTCACCACTTTTAATAGTAGCTAAATTCTATTCTGTGGAAACAGTCCAGTTTATGCTAGCTAGCCAAGATATACAACCAAAGCATCCCTTTGGAAATTAGGGTTTGGAACTGGCTCAAAGATAGCAGAAAATCAAGTCAAATCGCCTTCTTAATTTGCTTCGCTCCTGAGAACTTTATCGACATATCCAAGTAGATTTCTTGGCAGCAATCTGGAAATTGTTTGCCACTGTCTTCTTCCAAGATATTGGTTTTTGTTTTTGATTTTTATAACTTTCCAGCCTAGCCTACAGCCTGGGATTTCCTCCCACTCAAGAATTAAATAGTTCTGATCCTGCTTAGCTTTCAAGTTCAGCCACATACCTGGACTATTACAGTACTTTATTAAATAAGGACCAAATAAATTAGTTATGCCTGAACTTTTCTCTGATGACAAAGAATAAATGCTGCTTAGGACCATCCCTTATTCTAAGACAACATGGGAATATAAGATCCCATCTGATGTTACTTCCTCTCTGTTCTGAAACTCTGGACACATTGCTTAATTCTAAGATTAAGTTGTTTGGGTCTTTTGGCTTTAATAAATATTGATTTAAGATTAAAGTTTCTCTTATATTTATATGCCTTTTCTGCAGAACCACATAGAAGAAAGGCTGCTTTCTTTCTCCATGCCTTAATTCATGGAGGCATGGAGCCATGCACACCATCATTGCCCTTTATCCTTTATTTTGGACACTTTTGTGAGTCGTAACTCATATAAAAATGTTAAAAACATGACTCATCACATAAGGTGGGACTTTTTAAAAAATGATAAGAAGTAGACTCAGAACCACATCAGCAATAGCCTAAAGATCAGATAGCAAGGAAGGAAGATGTCCAAGAACTGAATTTTTCATGGTTTTAATATACTTGAGTCAATACTTTACTCAACTCATTTTGCTAACCTTTCTTATTCTGGGGACAGTCCAAGACTGATTTTCCATCCTTCATATCCTCAAACCTGCAAATTAAAAATACAGTTTAATGTATGAACTTTGACAGATTGATCCTTTCTAAGTATCCTTTTTTAAAAGCCGTCTATGACAATGACATTACAAGACTGATGATCTGAATTACAATGAGTTTCATAATTCAGCATTCTTCTCAGACTGTTCTGAACTATTCCAATCAGTTTTATGTAGTCTCCACAAGTATTAGTTGGTTAGGAAAAACCCTTACAGTTATGATTTCTAGTTTGTCATCTAATACATATACCAGAAATTCATTATGGGATCTAAGAGAGATATTCATTAACGAGAGAACCAGAGAGATTTATAAATTATAAGGAAAATAAATTGTGAAGAGCTTGTTTCTAAATATGCTGAGATATCCTTTTCCTTTTGCAATTATATATGTCTGACAGTATAATACATCCACTATGGACTGCTGAATCTGGACCATTTATTGAGGCAGAGACATTGATGTACTATCATCTTTCTCTAGCAATCATAAGCCACTTAGAGCACACAATCCCAGCAAAAGCATTCTTGAAATTTGGAGATTTCTTGCTTCTACCAGATTATAACTTCCACCAGGGCCCTCTTTGTATAATCTACAGCATGCAGAATCTTTAGAGACTGAATTATTATTGTTGGTTGCACAATCAGCCAGATGTTTAGACTTGATTTGGCATTTTTATCCACTAGCGAAGAATCTGGAATAGGCAGATGTTGACATTGTTTTTATTATTATTATTAGTAGTAGTAGTAGTAGTAGTAGTAGTAGTAGTATTATAGCTGCCCACTCCCATAGTCTCTGAGTAGCTTACAAATACAAATCAATAAAAACAGTTAAAAACATACAATCCCACAGGCAGCCCGGACTAAAACAATCAAATCATAACAAATCCAACCAAATGAAGAGACCCATACACAAGGAACAAAACCAGGTTTTAAGAACCCCAGGAGAGAGGGCACAGTTCCTATCTCTGATGATGCTGTTCCAGAGGACAGGGGCCAAGCAGAGAAGGCACGCATTCTTGGTCCCATAAAATGACAACATTTAATAGAGGGGACCTGGAGTGCACCCACTCTGCTGGAACATACCGGGCAGGCAGAAACAGTTGGAGATAGGTGGTCCATCAGGTCTCCAGGCCCTATACCATAGAGGGATATAACATGGAGATAACCTACATGCACTCTGTTTTTTCTACATCCCAAGCCCGTCGCCATTCACCCCTTGCATTCTTGTGGCGGGTGAGCCGTTCAAGATCAATCTGATCCCGTTCTTTCTTCCATTGCATATACTCTGACCGCTCTCTCCCAGTCAGGGTGCAATTTTTCTCTCCTGGGCTCTTCTGGGGAGAATTCTCTCTCTCCTAAATGGAAAAAAGATGAACTAATTAATATGACAGCACTCCCTGGCTAGGCCAAGTACAAAGTGAAGAGTGGTTTATTGGAACAATTTTTAGTATCAGCATTACTGGGAGCGCTTACTTGATTTTATTTATTACTGCATTTATACACCACCTTTCTCTTGAGAGAGCCAGGTGGCATGTGAGGATTTCTCCTAATTTTATCATCACAGTAGCCCTGTGGGTAGGCTGAGGTAAGAGAAAATGACAGTCATCACCCAATGAACTCCATTGAGTAAGGACTTGAACCTGGGTTTCCTCACTGTAACTCCAACACTTTAACCACCACATTACACAGACTAAGGTCCCCTAACTGAATGTAATTCCTTCTTTCCTTGGATGTAGCAAACAAATTGAAAGGAAAAGGCAATGCTTGCTAGCAAGTAGCCACTGCTAGATTTGCATCTATTCCATGCCAGATTAGAACAGTCTTCCCAATAAGGCATCTCAACCCTTGCCATATTTAATATGTTGTTCACTCAACCCCCCCCCCCCCCCCCCCC